GGCTCTGAGTGAATTCGATCGAGGCATTGCGCTTTTGAATGATTGCAAATATGGTCACTCATGCACAGGCAATACTATGACGTTGTCTTTGCTTCGAGCAAGTAAAATTCCAGATGATACTGCTGATTTGGGAGAACACAGAGTACTTTTTTGTTTTCGCTTTCGTAGTTTGATTAGTTTTGCTTTTTGCAGTGGTAACGTTTGTATTGAATGCATTATTCTTTCCCATAGATATTAGCAAAAAAAGGAACATTTACTGTCTTGAATGTATATCATTGCATAGAGAAATGTGAAGTGAGTTGCAGCGAAATTTTGAACTCTAACTTTTGAACGTCGTTCCTGTTACGAATATATGTAGGGAGGTCAGATAAATCTAATTGTTTCAATCCGAGATGGTTAAAATCTTTGTTATCCAATGTCATGCTTCTTCCTCGCTCCCACTAAGCGCTATGGTTGTTTAAGTAACCTTGCAGATAAAGCATCGGCACTCTCACAATATCAGCCGTTACTAAACAAATAATTTGATAAAAATAATCGTTATTAAACAAACTTTTCATTTTCTTGCCAATGAAGACGGTTTTAAACGTTTGATTTTGACTAACAGATGTTTTTTTTTTGTGAGATTAGTTTGCTTTAGGTCTTTTTTGTCTTTTTGATTGTAAATCCCACTGTTTTTAGTTTTCGTATGCACTGTATCCTTTCATCGGCTCAATGCAGCGGCCTTGTAATGACTTGAATTTGAGCGTCATGAGAGCGGCTTATGAATTTAATAATCCTACTCGTTTTGTTAATGGTTGGCATGGTAAAAACAAACTTTCATCTTTTCTGAAAATCGACGGAAGTGAAGGTTTTTCCTTTTTAAAATAATTGGATATTTTTGTTGGAAATAGTTTAGATTATTTACATGGGTTCGTCAAATATATTTTTTTTAATATTTGATTCCACATTTCTTTTCTACTAATAAAGCTGCGGAAAAAATTTGCTCATTGTTATAGTAAGAACTTCTTGGTCTTATTCACATGTAAAACTTCATCGGCTTGTTAATCCATGACGGATTCACTGGGTAGCTAATGAGTCGCGTTACATGTCATCGCATAACTTAATTTTGAGATGGTGATTGAAAGAAATTGAGGGAATTACATGATTTATAACTAGAATTGTATTTTCTATCTATTTGCAGGTATTGTTATTGATACTGTGAAGCCAGCTGAAGATGATATCAATACATTGGTCATCCGCTTATTTGAATCATTTGGCGGCGGTGTTAGTGTAAAACTTATAATTAACCATAGTCGTATTGTTTCCATTGATTTGGGTGATGGTCTAGAAAGGACAATCTGTCCTTTATCTATTGAAACTAATTCTTCAACACAGAATCAATATGAAGGTTTTGTTAATTTAGATTTTCGCGCTTTCGAGATAAAAACTTTATTGCTAAGACTGCTTACGCTGTGACAAATCATTCCTATTTATTTGAATTGAATTTAGAAAAGTGAAAATTTTTGATTCATTGAGATGCATGTTTTGAATTCCAAAGCCAGTGAAAAAGGATAAAAGATTAAGAGATTCACATAGTTTAAATAGAGTTTTTTTTCTATTTAGAAATATTTCTGAAATAAA